TATTCTCCATCTGCTTGCTGAGTCATTTAGGCTCCCATAATTACTCTGATCTAAATACCTGTGCTAAACCTACCCCATTGTTCTTAATTTGAAAAAAAAAAAAAAAATACCATTGAATTTATTTCATTGTGACATGCTCCTTCAATAACCCAATATACCATCAGTTTCTTAAAAATTCCTTGACATTTGTGATGTCAAAATGCCCATAGAAGGTGCGAAAATGATTTTGGACATATTTGGAACAAGTTTGAGGCTGTATTTGGTTTGGGAGGGGAACTGCTGACCTGGACTGAGGATGTTGTTGAACGGTGGAAGGAGCTGTCCTAAAGCCATGCCCACCATGCCCACCTTTGAGGAGGCAGAGTCTGAGGACTTGGGGGAGGAGAGTCTATTACCATGGCAGAGGTCATTTAGGTTGTCAAAATGCTCCTTGATGGGTGCCAGGGGTGGACAGGATTTGCCATGACATCCTGAAGACTCTGGATGTTGTGGGACTGTCATGGTTGACACGTCTCTTGAGTGTCGCATTGGAGGACTGGGACAACACCTGTGGAGTAGTGGACCAGGGTGGTGGTTCCTATTTTTAAAAAGAGGGACCAGAAAGTGTGTTCCAATTATTATAGGATCACACTTCTTGCCCTCCTTGGTAAAGTTTACTCAGGGTGTTGGAAGAGAGGCTCTAACCAATTGCTGAACCTCATATTCCGGTGGGATGGAACAGTGTAGCTTCCATTATGGTCGTGGAAGAGTGGATCAGATTGTTACCTTTGAGTAGTTTCTAATGGGGTCATGGGAGTTTGCCTCTCCAGTCTATATGTGTTTTGTGGATCTGCAAGGCTTGTGGTAATCTTCCTCGAGGCATTCTGTGGGGGCTGCTGCGAGAGTATGGGGAGGGATTATGAACACATTTGCCTCAGGTGCAGGAGTTTTAAGTATCTCGGCATCTTGATCACGAGTGATGGAGACTGATGGACAGATTGGGGCCTCATCCTCAGTAATGAGGACATTGTTTTGCTCTGTCAAAGTGGAAAAAGACTGAGTCGAAAGGTAAAGTTTTTGTTTCACTGGTCTGTCTTTGTTCCAACCCTCACTTATGGTTGTGAGATTTGGATCATAACGAGGGATGACGAGATCCCAGATACAAACAGATGGAATGGGCTTCCTTCATAGGGTTGCCTTAGAGATAGGGTGAGAATCTCCATCCTCCGTGGGCAGCTCGGAGTAGAGCTGCTGCTCCTACACATTGAAAGGAGTCAGTTGAGTTGGTTCAGGCATCTGATTAAGATGCCACATGGACACCTCCCTTTAGAGGTTTTCCAGGCATGTCCCACTAGTAGGAGGCCCCGGGGAAGACCCAGGAAATGCTGGAGGGATAAGATATTTTACCAAGAAAAAAATTATGCTAAGTTTATCAGTTGTATTACTTCTAAAGAATATATGACAAGAATACCAAATGTAATCAGCATGCATTGAACTAAACAATACACTGGCTGCTGTGACAAAATACTTTTAATAAGGAAATAATGTACTTTTTGAATTTTGACGTGTTTATTTGTATTAAGAAAAACTGACAATTATATTCATAGTGAATATAATTCATCAGAATACACTAAACAGTACAATGTTTGTACACCATAAAAATATGTTTGCATGAAGAATAAAACAAAATTGTGAGGTTTGTGTATGTTCCCAAGACACTAAATAGCATTAGCATTAGCTCCTAAGGCTAGAAAGCCCTGTCCCTTTGCTTTCACTTTACATCAAACAAGGATTAGCACATCATCCCCTTCTCGTGAAATAAAATGTCAGTGTATAGATGAAAAGGAATGGGAAAGGATCAAAGGGGATTCACCCTTATTTTTCATGCAGACTCTGTGCAAACTGTGAAAACTACAAACACTCATTCCTGGTGTTGTAACACTTGTATTTATTTGTCTCAAATACCTCCAGAGTCTAAACCATGAAACTACCATTTGTTTACAAAGACAAACATATTGATTCAATGATTCTGTGTATTGGTTTCGAAAAGTCCCATTAGTTAATGTTCAAGAGCCTATCAGAATGATAAATAGACTTATTGGGAATCAATCAGTGTTATTACAGCAGCTAAAGTTGGGTGCATGTAATTATGGAGATGCTATTTGATCTCAGTTGACTGAAACTGCACCTTGGTTTGTTTGCATCAGCCTTGGACAAATTCTAGTGGCTTTTAACTGTTCTGGTAAGGAACATGATCTTTGTGCTAATAGTATATACCCTTACTTTTAGACATTTACTTGATTTGCTTAACTTAATTTTATTGAAATAGCACTTTAAAAATATAAGTTGCCAATAAAAGGACAAAGCAGATTTAAAAAAGCATAACATTCTAAAGTTAGAGTGCGTACATACAAAACTAGCAATACTGGTAACATAATTTGGTGAAAAAACACAATTATACAATGTATAGAAATAAAAGGAAGATGGAAAAAAAATGATAAAACTAATAAGAACATATGAAAACAAGGAATTCACCAAAACACAACAAATGGTAAATAACAATGTTATTTCAACGAGGTATATTTCTACACAAGAATTAGAAGGAAAACTGTTTGGGGGTTTGTTTTCCAATGTAACACACAGCTAGCTTCATCATAGTTTTATTATATACACCAGTTGTTAACAAAACACCAATATGAAATGTAACTTGATTAAATTTAGTTCTGGAAAGGACACTATGTAATTGCAAGCATATGTTTTTTCATGTGTTATTACCTATATTTTGTTAAAAGCCAGTAATATTTTTGATTTTTTTTAACTCATTTAAAAATGTTTTACTAAAAAAAAAAAAAAAAATAGGTAATTAGATTATTACTAAATTATTTTTCCTAAATTCTTGACAAAAAAATGTAAAAGAAAACCTTTAATTTGTCTTTAATCATTGCACCTACAGCTTTGAATGAGAGCTTTGTGTTTGTTTTCTTTAGGTGTGGATGTTGCCTCCATGCACACCATGAAGACACAAAGAGCCACCACCATGCTCTCTGACGTTAAACTGTTTGTAGCATCAGGGGGAAGTCTTAACCAGACCAATGGTGATGGAGTTACTTTGGTAAGAAAAGTCATATGAGTGCAATAAATTGACTTTTGTTCCTGGGAAGAAAAAAAAACTCCAATAATAAACATTATTTTTTCTTTCAGTTTTTATTCTATCAGATTTTGCATATGTTTTTTTTTTCTTCATTTTATTTCTAATCCATCTTCCTTTTTGTTCTCCTCTGTGTGAAGCTCCACATTGCTTGTGCCAGTGGTTACAGAGAGGTGGTGTCTGTGCTACTGGAGAACGGAGCGAACCCTCATCCTGCTGACATCAACTTTTGGACCCCACTTCATCTGGCTGCTAAATATGGACAGGTCACTTACAATTTACACTGGAATGTCTGGAGGTTCATCAAATAGTAAACTCATTTAAACTTGCCAAGCTAATCTATACTATCCCAATGCGGTTGTTGCCGATAATCTTCTTTGTCTCCACCCATCTGAAAAATTCTGCTTTTTAGATCTACTGAAAAGGAAATAAAAACAATCAAACTGCTGGCACAGTGTCAGACTTTATATCATCTACTATATTATTTTTGATAAGTAGTTTTTTAATAATTTTTAGCAGGGGGGTAGAGATACAGATACATGTTTAGAACAAGATGAAAACAGATTAATTTTTTAAAGATTTCCAGCTATACACATTTAATTGTATACTTGGTGTTTACTGAACCAAATTGTTTTTTTTAATTATCTTTTTTAATTTTTGATTTATTGTTGCCCTTTTGTTCTGTTTGATTGGGGCGTGGTGGAGCAGAGGTTAGAGAAGGCTTGTGATCAGAAGGTCACTGGTTCAACTCCCTGGACCGACAACATCAAAATGTAGGTGGGAAAGGTGAAACGCCCACACCTGCCTCTTCAATCGCCCCCACTCTGGGCCCTTGAGCAAGGCCCTTAACCCCCACCATCTGCTCCTCCGGGAGCCCTAGACAGCAGCTCTCTGCTCCACACAGAGAGCTGTGGGAGCTCGGTGGTCTGTGGTTGTGTCAGGAAGGTCATCTAGCGTAAAAACAACGGCCAAATCTTTGTGCAAGTTAGTTCGCTGTGGCGACCCCTGAAGAAGGGAGCAGCCAAAAGAAGAAAATAAATAAATAAAATTAAAGTTGAGTTAGCTGAAATCATACTACTTCGCAGGTCTACCTGTCCAGAATGCATGTTGGTAATATCTATGTCCTTACACAAGTTTGTTTTAAAGTGTCTTTTACTCTTCTTGCCCACCACATTTCTGCACTTTTCTTTACATCTATAAATATATTTCTTTCTTGTTATATATTTTTTTAAACAATCAATTTGACTTATTCTTAGGTTCTCCATCAGTACATCTGCATGTTCATATCCTGACTGCAGGCCCATAAAATGGATTTGAACCTTGTTGTTTGTCCTCATTCTTGCACTTTCTCTGTGTGTGTCTTTGTGTGTCAGTGTATTTGACGTAGCAGTGGCAGTCTGGAGGCTTGCAGAATTGATTAGGTTTTTCATTGCAGTGCTAAAGCACTCCAGTTGTCTGCTCTTTCTTTCCCATTTGTTATTGCTTCTTGAATACAAACCACTCTCTGGGCTTTTTGAACATTTCCCTTTTTATAGCTAGACTCTCAGCATCACAGAGACTGACCAAGATGTTATTTTGATGTGTTCACCCACATAAATAACTTCTATTTTGCTGTCATAAGTCAAAAATATTTTCTAGGAAATGCTTGCTGGCAAATATAGCCCCAGCTGGTACAATAAACTCAAAGCCCCCCTTATACAGTGAGCCATGCACACTAATATGACCCTTTAAGAGGATGTATGACCTTATTATGCAGCTAATTAAGCTTCCTCACCTTGTGCTTATGATAAGCCTGGCAGTGCTTCAGAGCATTCCCTGCTTTGAATCAGGGGCTTTAAAAGTTCTAGAGGGACTAAAGTTGTCCATAGTTTTATGATGAAATGTCAGAAAAAAAATTAAAGAGTATTAAAATGCCACCTTGCTTGAATGAGATTAATTTATTTAGTCATTACTGGCGCTGTGGCAATTAGGCAGTGAAGAGAGTTTAAGTTTTATTTTTAAGAGAAACTTTTATGTTAATCTTAAAATTAGGCGCTACATGTAAAATATGTCGTCAAATTTAGCTACGTCTGAGCCTAAATTATAAAATGTTGCTTTTTTTCCAGTGCGTCTCTGAAACTTGACCTGCCAAAGTGTTCAGATTTGTACGTGCCTCCAGCGTGCTAGAGTTGGTTTTGCTGAAAGGCTTCATGGGCAGAAGGCATGTTGTAACTTCATAACAGAGCAGCTGCTGGCTTACTGTATGTCAGAGCCAGTCCAGAGAATGTGCTGAGTCACTTTCTGTGCACATCGTTGATATCTTACTGCTGCGCTTCGATGAAAAATAATAATAATAAAAACATTTTTAAAAAGAAATACGTGTTCAGCTGTTAATGAAAATAAATGTTGGTTATTTAGTAATCAAAAGAAAATCAACATGTGCAGCAAGTGACAAATTATACCTCAATAATTAAATTTAAAACACATTTGAATAGTTGTTTTATTATGTGGCCTCCACCTTAAACTGTGGACAATAATGTAACTACGGTGTGTGCGCAGTCTGTTAACAATATTTCTCATAAGATTCATTCTTTGTAACTCTATAACTGAATGACTTTTGTAGTCGCGTGGTAAAACATGGCTACAATACCTAATCAACTTATGAAAACAAACAGAACAAATGGATTCTGTTTTACAGATATTAAGATCATTTTGACGTGGGATTAGCCCAGAGATATTCCCAGTGCAAAATGAGCACTAACTAATTGTGCTAAACTTGTGACACCACATGTGAATTTCAGGATTTAACCTTTGAGCTCCATCATTTTTAACAAATTATCCTTTTTGTTTTTGTTTTTGCATGCAATATGTATTATTTCAAGGAATTCTAGTATTTTATTATTATTTAAATGTAATTCTGTTAAAGGATTTGATAATTTTCTCATATATAAATTAAACAAATAATTGGTTTGGTTTGATTACCTGAGACAAAGTTCTATTGGATAGTTATTTAGCTCAAGCATGCACATGTGGATTGTTGCTGTTTGCATCGTACCTATAATGATTGACAGCATATTGCTGTTATTACATGTGTGGCATTGTTTGTTGTTAAACTGGATGCATTATGTGTGTTTAAAACTGACAGTATGCAATAGCGAGACAATGAAAATTCAGCTCTATAAAAATATATTAATAATCATAAGGTGGTACATTACATTTTTTAGGTTTGACACAGTTATAGCCCGCTGAGTAGAAGTGGGACTGAAAGGCAAATTGTTAAAATGGTAAATTAAAACGGGGGCTACTGAGAGGAAAACGACATGAATTGTGTTTTAAAGACATGCATTGTGGGTCAGTCTTTTTTTTTAGGTTATTAGTCTATTATACTCTGTTAATCCTTAATGGGAACATTCATTCACTGTGGTTTCACATGTGGAGCAGGGAGCTGTCGTCTAAGGTACCCAGAGAGCAGCTGGGGGGTCAAGGGCCCACAATTGCACACATGATGGTTGAAGCAGATGTGAGTGCTTCACCTTTATCATAAGAATATTTGTAGGATTGTGGAATTCAAACCTGCGACCTCCTGGTTAAAGGCTCACCTTCTCTAACCTCTGTGCCACCACTCCCCATTTATAAAACAAAGATGAAACAATAAAGGGCAAAAGTGAAAGTCTTTAAGTGTTATCAAATATAATGGTTGACAACTATTGTGTTCTGCTGCCACGACAAGGAAGGAAGACTCATTACTAAAGTATTCTTGGATTATTATTTTTAGGTCAGAGACTTCATTTTAATGCCACGTGTGACATATTCTCTGCATGTATGAGATGCTTAGTGGATCATGTGTGTCTACACTTCATTATAGCTGCAATGACATTTAAGAGGGTGAAACATTTCTGTACATGATATTTTGCTTCCAAGTTATTTTCAAGGATTTACTTTGTTACTGTGAAATATCTGTCTCCCTTTTCTTACAGACAAGCATTGTTAGCAAGCTTCTAAGGCATGGGGCGAACCCAACCTCGCTGAACTGCAACCAAGATAAGCCGTCTGGTAAAACATTTACTGCACACATTTACACAAATGAGCATGTACGCACAAAACAAAACAAAAAACTGCAGCTGGAAGAGTGAAAATGGCCTTGGGAAGAAGAAAAAATGATGAAGCAAAAAACCAAAAAAACAAATCAAATTATGTGTTGAAGACATCTGCTCCTGCTTGAACTGGCAGCAGACAGACCTCAGGAAAATATAAAGACATTATGATTTACAGATGCAGGCAGATCGATCATCTATTGAATATATGCCCACTTTTGATGCAAAGCTATCAATTTATCTTAAATTCTTCTCATTTTTATCATGTTTTTTTTTTACTGCTATGATATTTGCTCTCCATGTGCTGTAACACAAAAAGAAAAAAATAATTTGACTGTGGAGAACAAGGCACTGTAAGCTATTTCTGTTTCTGCTTTAGTGATAAATGTTTGTAAGGTCCTAAACTTTATTCAGTTTTATTTGCACTCTGGCTGACAACACCACACCATCCATCTATTTATCTATTATCTTTACCCGCTTCTTCCTTTGTGGAGTCACTGATGTCCAGCAGTCACTCTGCGAGAGGTGGGGGACACCCTGGACAGGTCTCCAGTCCATCACACAGAGACAAACGAGACAACCATTCATTCTCTCACTCACACCTAATGACAATTTATTGTTACCAATCAGCCTAACATTATTCTAATAAACTGTGAATATTCACAAATTGAATTTCACATTCAAGATGGTGACCACCAGCTGTCGGGGCTTCAGTGCTTCTTGTTGTGCGTGCAGTCCCACTGCACAAAGAAGACACACCAACGAAACAACTCAAACAAATAAAGAAAGAACATGCCCCCACTAATCGTTTATTGTTCAAATTGGATTTTTTAAATATGCTTTAAAATAAATATGTGAGATAAGTTTGCATTCGGCAGCACGGTGGCGCAACTGGTAGAGCTGCTGCCTCTCAGCGAGCAGGTCCCTGGTTCAAACCCCGGTCCAGGGGCCTTCTGGGTGGAGTTTGCATGTTCTCTCCGTGCATGCGTGGGTTTTCTCCGGGTGCTCCGGTTTCCTCCCACAGCCCAAAAACATGCATGTTAGGCTGATTGGTAACTCTAAATTGTCCCTAGGTGTGAGTGAGAGAGTGAATGGTTGTTTGTCTCGTTTGTCTCTGTGTGGCCCTGTGATGGACTTGCGACCCGTCCAGGGTGTACCCCGCCCCTCGCACAGTGATTGCTGGACATGGGCACCAGCGACCCCCGTGACCCAAAATGGAATAAATGGGTAAAGAAAATGGATGGATGGAAGTTTGCAGTCTTAATACTCAGGAAATAGAGTCTATCAATGTTCCAGCTAAAAGCAAAAAAGAAATACAGGCAATTAATCAAGCTGAATCAACAGCATTTTATGACAGTAAATTCACTAATATTTTGAAATTTTAACTTGTCACATGTCTCAGAAGACAATTTTTCAAGAGTTTATGCAGGACTCACCCAGTTGTAATTATCAAATATTTTACTGTAGTTATGTTTTTGTGATATACTCAGGGCCTAGGGGTGATGGTGCATTTTAATATACATGTATTTTTTGTTCTGTTGAAATAAAAATTATCAAACTATAAGTATAAGAAACATTTCAAATTTCCTCAAACATACACACAAACTTTGTTTCATGCCCCAATGAAGTCTCCATTACCATGACACTTTCTCCTCCTTCTTCTGAGGCTGCGGTGGCTCGGTCGTCAACGCCGCGGTCTTGTAATCCCGAGACTGCAGGTTTGAGTCCAGGTTGTTTCAAGAAGGACATCTAGCAAACAAAAATATTGTTAAATTGTCTTTGTGAATTAGCTTCTTGTGGTGAACCCTGTAGAACAGAGCAATCAAAATTGAATACTGTATGTAAAAATGTCTCCCCTTTTTTCTTCTTCTACCCCTAAATCAACACAGCTGATTGACTGACCCTAGAACTAATCCTTAACTTTCACAATAACTTCATATAAATAGGGACCATACTTTGGTATTTGTTTTTAACTTATCACCTCTGAAATCGGTTTGCTGTCAGGATTTGAGCCCCATAATTACACAAACACACACACAAGATTGAATCAGTGAATATTTTGTGATGCTGTAGAGACAAAAATTGTCATATATAGGCCTGTCGTGATAAACAATAAATCAATTAATTGCACGATAAATGAAAATTATCAACCTCATTTTCATTTATCAACTTTATCGTTTCTTCGTGTCTCTCTCTTTCTACTGAAGACACTGGATGACAAAAATGTCAACTCTGGTGCTCTTCATTGACCCCTCCCTTCGTCTTTTCTCTTTAAAATCTGTTTTAACTTTCTAAAATTGTGTTTTTGGATTGTTAAAAGCAGCTAAGCTGAGAAGCTAAGCCACGATCTAAGCTAAAAGGCCGACCTCGAAAAAACACCGTCTTGTCGAAGCTGCAAAATTCACGGTTAAAACCCGTGCCTTTGTGTAAAAAGTTGTTTTTATCTGCAAAAAGAAGCTGAGAACTTGTTTGCTGATTTTTTATTAAAAGCTTTGTGTGACAAATGCTATGCTAAAGAGCTCAAACCACACCGAGTATCTGCCATTTTGAGAACCCAAAACACGGAAAGAGAGACGGCCCATGTCACGTCAAGGGGCCTCCCTCCCATTTTTCTTAAAGAGACACGTTGCTCACTCCCTCACTATCCATCCTTCAGCTCAAACAGTTTTATAATGCCATCTGGTGGGCAATAAAAGGTACTATACTCAAAACAAATTAAACAACATTTATTCTTAAATTTGACAATAATTACTAATTGTTTTCAATTTTCAAACAATATTATCATTTATCGCAATAATTTCTGAGGCAATTAATCGCCCAGCAAAATTTGTTATTGTGACAGGTCTAGTCATATACTGAGGCTTTGGATCTACAAATCACAGCTGCCTCTCATCATTTACTGAAAGTTTAATCCAGCCTCTGACTGGCTCACTCTGGTCTTATTCAACCCTGTTCTTGCATACGAACCCAGGAAAGATGTGAGACAAGCTGTTAGACACTGAAACAATCCTTTTTTTTTTTTTACTTGGAGCACCACACTTCTCCCTTAGCAGCCAAATGATGGAATGAAGAGAGAACAAGAGATGGGTGTCAGGGGTACTGTCTGTTACACAGAAATAAAAAGACAGGATGAAGCCATTCCCCTCCCTCAAGCCCTCTTAGACCTCATTACCAATTCAGGGATTTTAACTCCTCCTTTCTGTGCTGCTCTGTGGATTGATCCACAATTAGATTCCCATTCTTCTCAAGTGAAGGCTCATCCACATGGGTAGTAAAAGAGACTAGAATGACAACAAGATAAGAAAATGTACTGGTGGTTTTTAGAGAATCAAAATCTATGGCTTACAGTGTTACCACACTCTTATCTTTTTACTATAGTCTTTTCTGCACCTGCCAATTGTTAATTTAACACACTATCTTGTGACTTCAGTGCTTCACACTGCACAGCCAAATTGTTGGTGAACATGGTGAATCTGGAGTGATGGTGTTAACACACACAAAGTGTGCTTATGTGGAGATTTTTTAACACAACAGCAACAATGTAATTTTATTCAAACGTCAAAAGAGCATTGATAAAGTTCAAAACATTCATTCAACCTTTATTCATACAGGTTAGTCACATGGGGGTTTAATGGCAATCGACAAAGCCTCGTTGTCGGTAACTTAAGTTTTGGTTGCAGGCTTTTAGCAGTTAATGGTAACTTGGATTTTTAGAGCATTGAAAAGTAATGAAACAACCCCATTCGATTTTTCAAGAAAGTTACTTTTGATACTTGTGTTTGTATCAAAATAAAAGCTCATATTTTTGACGTTTTTCATCAGATATTGCAGTGACTGAGCCTATAGCAGAAATGCTTCTGAATGCAGAGGACAGCTGGCTGCAGAGGCTGAAGGACCCCTCCACTCCTCTTCCTTCTACCGACCAACGCTATGATGGTGGTTCTCATGATGTCAGCACGCCTCTCAAGAACCTGTGGGTTAAATATTTCATAAACACTCATGTACTCAGTATAGTAAATTGCATATTTTAGTGAATCATCAAATCAGTTTGTTTTACCACTTTCATCTTGTTAACTATTCATGCTGTCATACAGGAACCCTCTGGGTCTTTCCATCTCTAAGCGGGACAGTCTGTTGGAGAAATGTGCCATGTTCAGAGAGACAGGTGGAACACTCTGTCGCCAGCCGTCTCAGGATAATGGCCTAGATAGCCCCTTGAGCTCTGGACCCAGTAAACTAGAGCAGGTACATTTTCTTGAGGTCTCTTTTTTGTTAACTTCCCTAGATTGCTTTATTTTGCCAGTTTGAAAAGAGTTTCACTCCATTGCAATAATATACACTAACCCTAAAGATAGGTGGACACCTTTCTCTCATTGTTCAAATCTAATTAAATGCATTTCCTCAGGTGAAACTGATGCCTCCAGCTCCCAATGATGACCTTGCATCCCTCAGCGAGCTGACTGACAGCAGCCTGCTCTACGAGATGCAGAAACGCTTTGGCAACGACCAGATCTATGTAAGACAATGTTCTTTTCACCACAAACTTCTCGCATCAAACATGCAACTAAAGCTGGAGAAAACAAAAACCTCAGAGGAATATCAAAGACATTCTATTCTCGGCAAAACTGCAACATTTCAGTTTATTTGTATTGGAGTGCTGCTTAGAGAATGTTTGGATTGTATGTTCTTTATTCCCACAAGTGCTGGTTTTCATTCAGCATTAATACATTTAGTGTATTAAAAAGTCAAAATTACACCGTGCATCAAAAGGTTTTACTTACAGTTTTACGATATCCACCTTATTCCTAGGCCCCATAGTGCCTTGAGTGAATTATGAGAGTGACTTCCGGCGTGGACCGAAACCAGTGTTTGTATATGTGTGACCAGTATGAAGTGTAGTTTCTCCAAGCATTGAGGGTTTAATTCAAACATGCAGGAACACCACCTGTCAGAGCTCAGTCAGGACAATATAATCATACTGCTGCCTGCTGAGGACGAGCGATGGAGGACGACCTGAAGAAGTGGCTGCAGATTACATCTACTAGCATATTTAGCTACTTCATTGACTCAGTTGCTTCCGACAGTGAAGCGATGAACAACCTGAAAAGTTCTGAGGTGTATTAGTATCTACACAGTAATAAGGTTGGTCGTGTTTTGTTAAAAGAGGTGGAACACAGTTTCATTTACCTTAAAGCAGACATAGAGCCCAGCCAAAGCCTTAAAGTCCTCAATTACTGAGCTTGGGTTCATTACAGAGAAAATCATAATACTGAATATGAACAGATACTATAAATCTGTGTCCTCCAGTTACTTGAAATCATTCCTGATATTCTTGTCACTGTTTTCAATCCTTCTGAGGATCCGGCTTCCATTCTCCGGTGGTTTATTGTAGTCCAGCCACAAAGATTTGTGTTTTCGTCCGTCGGCCGTTTGTCAACAAAGTGAAATGAGCACACAAACAACGTTTTGGGTGGTCTCTTCAAGTTCACATTTTTCAGCCACATTCTTCTTAATTCCTCATCTGTAGGTAGGAGATGGAAAACATACCTCTTTTCACAGGAACACTCTTTTGGTTTTGGGTCTGTGTTCAAAACACTGTTGTTGTAGCCAGTGATTCAGTTTGGTCTGGTTGTTCATGCAGCTGCGAACACAACAGGAACCTGAGCTCTGCAAGGAGATTTTAGTAAACTTTATTTTATGGTTGTTAAATAAATGTGAACAAAACTAAAGCAGCTAAAATGAATGCAAATTATTTTCAAATTGCTTTTGCTCCACTACCATAATTAGCCAGTGCTAACTGCTACTTCCTGTGTCTGACAGGAAGTTGTACCCATAATCATTTTTACAGTAGAGCCCCCAGGAATAAGATGGATACATTTTACCTGAAAGAGTTCTTCTCTGGTAAAGGTGTATATTTTGGACAAAATTTTATTGCATCATAAATTTAGTGTGAATACCAATTTTTGTGTGAATAATTAGGAAGTTATAATATTGTAATCTTAAATATCATAAATGTTTTTTTTATAAATAAAAATAGAAATACATTCAATGTAAAGAGCACAAAGCTTTATATATATATATAATTTATTATTTTTGTTAGTTTCGTTTTTTAACAGCAAATTTAAAATAGACGACCATACATAGATCAGTCTAAGCATCAACTTGTGTTCACTGGATGAATCTCTGCTGTTTTATTTTGCTGACCAAATACTTACGTACATCAATTAACACCACACCCACCCCAACCCCCAACAAACACACGCACACAAACACAGACAAAAATACTTACACTGGTGAAAATGGCAAAATCAATACAGTTTTGATCGACAAATCCATAATTATATCCTCAAGTGAAACGCCTTCATCTCCAGCAACTGGCCCATTTTATAACCCATATGTTTTCCAGTTCTTTTTTTTCAAAGGTCTTACACTATGGAGATGGGTTTCTATGAGGACAGGAACTAGATCAATGTGGAATTGTGCAATTAGTGTAATTTGTGACCACTGTTCTCTGTGGAAAGGCAGTAATAGTCTGTTATTACAGGAACCCAGATGGCTGATAGACAGTAGGGCTACCCACAGTGGGAGACTAACGTCAGGGACTGTCAATAAAAGAAAAAGTACACGAGGTGTAAAAGGAGAAAAACGGAGACTGTTGAAACTCAAAATAACGAAAACTTAGTCCAGGAAGTGGATTTGGAAGAGGTTCAGGAAATAAATAATAAAATGCAGCTGTTACGGCTATATAACACACAGTTTGGGCTTAATGTTAATTAACTCTGATGTGGTCGATACAACAGAACATTTTGGTCATTTTTTGTTTGAAACAACTACAATTTAAAATGAAGCCACTAAAGAAAATCAATGTTCACTACAACCACAAAAATTGCATCAAAAGTAAAAAAAAAAAAAAAAAA